TTTGCTTATCTCATTCATTTTGGTGAACATGGCCATAAAAATATGTGTGCTTGACTCTTGAAGTTGATGCATCGAAAACGCGTCAAGAGAGTTTAAGTCCACAGCTACTAATTTCTGTGTGTGGAAGTCGAGAAAAAGTAGAAGTACGTATTTTCCAAATTCAAAGCCATATTTATTACTATTATAATTATTAATTTATTAGTATATCTCGAGCAAAAAATATCTCCCAAGTCCCAAGAATTCAACCCTTTTTTTTTCCGTAAATGTATGTAAGAAGTGTTCGCAAACTAAGAGCGGTCAATTAATTTAAATAAAAAAAGTTTGCTTCACTTAAGATTGGTAATTGATTCGAGTTAATTTAGCTGGTAAAGATTGAAAATTTGAAATATTAAAAATGCGCACTTTAATCAAGAATGGATTAATCTAGGAAAGGCAATCAATAATTCACTAATAATTACTTGATAATTTATTGATATTGATAGTATTGTATTGTATTACATGATTATTACCAATTCATGATGGAAATTAATGATGATTATATCGAATCCATCAAGTAAACATAGAATTATTTGCCACGATTAATTGTTATAGCGTGGAATATATTATAATCATGATAAACATTTTCTATTCACCCTTCCCATTTGATTCCATAAATAATTAGGGTTGGAGCATCATTTTGAATTGACTTTAAGCATGAGGTGATTAAGAACAGTATATAATAAAGGGGGTGTTTGGTTGGGGGTTAAGTTGGATTACTGGGATAATGTCATTTTATATTACTTGATTATCATGTTTGGTTGTCAAGTAATATAGATACCGGTAATCTTCAAATACCAATAGTAGTTACTATTGGTAATACTGAGGTAATCTATACTCCATTTTCTTAGGTATTCTGAGATTACCATAGGTTCTCTTTTTTTGTTACAATTTTATCCCTTATTAATAAAAATTTTAGACAATAATACCCCTACTTTAAAACAAATTTACATTAATATCCTATTTCAATTTTACCTTTGTTTAATTAAAATTTTGGACAATAATGCCCTTATATTTAAAATTATTTACAGATCACCACTGCCACCCAGCCACCACCACCACTGCCACCCAGCACCACTGCCGACAGTGGGCCAACCACCACGGACCACCACCGAAAAATCGCCGGAGTCCTTAAAAAAGAAGAAAATTCTATGGGAGACTCCGGGAGGCTTCGATATGGCCGTTTCCGGCCATATTGATGGCAAAAAACGGCCATATCAGACCAGATCTGGCCGGAAATGGCCAGATCTATTATTTTTTAGGGATTCCGACGATTTTCTGGCGGTGGTTCGCGGTGGCGGCAGGCGGCGGCAGGAGGTGGGGGTGATTTCGTCATAAATTAAAGTTTTATATAAGCGAGGGTGTTTTAGCTAAATCTGAAATATTGGGGGTTAAAAAAATTATTCAAAAATTAATAATAAAAATAATATTATATTAATATTTAAAAGGAGGACAATTTAGTAATTTAAATAACATACCCACCAATTTATTCCCTATAACCAAACATATTAATATAACATACCCACCAACTAACCAAACATATTTTCTTAAAGATTCCCAGTAATCTTCCAAGGTAATCTATCTTTCCAGTAATCCAACATTTCCAGTAATCTAACATTCCTGAACCAAACGCCTCCTAAGAGTAAACAACTTTTTCCCACCCAAGGTTTGCCTTAATAACACTTTTCCACCCAAAAAGTTTCAAAATAACACTTTCTCACCCAAAGTTTGTATATCGTTAATACTCAAAATACACTTCACTTTCTTAGTCGGTGTTTGACAAGTTACTAGGAGCCAAAGTAAGAGGTGTTGTATGGGCCAAAAATCATATTAGACCTGACGAGGTCCAATAGCATCATAAATAGGTAACGGCCCAAGGCCTTGGCCCAATTCTGATTGAGCTCACGCTTAGAATACCTTGTGAACTACCTGCTCTATAAGTTGTGACATCCCACGAGTTAAGTTGAACCAGGTCTGACCCATTCGCCCACAACAGTCCACAATAAGGACCAAAATCCTAGTCAATTTCCTCTTCTGACGAGATCCCATATCTCACCCATAGAGGAAAGCTTGAACTAATAAAGGCAAGAAATCTAGTCTCCTTCCGAAAAGAGAACTCTCCTACTAAGTAGGACTCAGAGTCCTACTAGGATTCGGACCTCTTGGGTCAACTATATAAACAGAGGCAAACCCTTTTCATTAGGCATCCAATAATCACCCTTAAGTTTCAGTATTCTTACTCCTAAGCCCTTTGCATATTCGGATGATATCCCAACGTTACTAAAGCCCCCCTCAACCACAAAAGCACCCTTCATAGGTCTATCAAGATTGTCAGTGGCTCGCGTCACAAGATTCTATCTTCACAAGTTTAATTGTAAAATTTATCGTTTATAATGGTAATTTTCCGATTCCAAAACGACTTGTTGAAGTTGCTTCTCCTCCCCATTCGGCTATCATGACCAATGACACAGAGACTTTAGTATCTGATGTCACGTCACAGATTGCGACTCTCACCACATTGGTGGAGGAAAGCAACAACAAATATCAGGCTTTGGAGGCTTAAAATGCTGCCATATGCGTGGAGAACCAAGCACTCTAAGATAAGGCACCCATGAAGTCAAATCCTCCAAATAGGAGTAATGAATCATCCATATCCAGAATATGAGTAATTGAATTTACTCTCTAAGCTAAATACCCTTTAACTTAGAGAGTAAGGGACAAACTGTATGAGCAAAAAATCGTATTGAACCTGACAAGGTCAAATACCATCATAAATAAGTAACAACCCAGGGCCTTGGCCCGATCCTGATTGAGCCCACACTTAGAATACCTTATGAACTGCCTGCTTTATGAGTTGGGACATCCCACGAGTTAAGCTGAACTGGGTCCGACCCATTCGCCCACAACAATCCACAATAAGGATCAGAATCTTAGGCAATTTCCTCTTCTAACAAGATCCCAGATCTTACCCACATAGGAAAGCCTGAATCAATAAAGGTAAGAAATCTAGTCTCCTTCAGAAAGGAGAACTCTCATATTAAGTATGACTCATAGTCTTACCAGGATTCGGACCTCTTGGGTTAACTATATAAACAAAGGCAAACCCTCTCATTAGGCATCCAATAATCACCCCTAAGTTCCAGTATTCTCACTCCCAAGCCCTCTGCATATTCCAACAATATCCCGACGTTACTAAAGCCCCCCTCAACCGCAAGAGCACCCTCTGCAGGTCCATCAAGATTATCAGTGGCTCACATCACAAGATTCTGTCTGTACAAGTTTAATTGTAAATTTTATCGTTTACATGTGTTTTATAGAATGGAAGCTAGTAGATCAAATGGTGGTAACCGATTTAATATTTGCTGCTGAAATCAGCTAAGAACAGAAAACCCTAGCTTTGCGATGATCGACAATCAGCGAGAAATCAGGTGTCGGAGTGAAATGGGTTTTATAGAGAAGAGACTGAAAGTTTAAATGATGGTGACAAGAGAATTTTTGCCACTGGAATCGGCCGGAATCGGCTTTGGATAGTAATAGAATTTTAACTTTGGGTGGAAAATGGTATTTTAAAACTTTTTGGGTGAGAAAGTTGTTAAGGCAAACCTTGGGTGGGAAAAGGTCGTTTACTCATTGAATAAATATGTATGACTAGTAGCAGTAGCAGCCCACATGCACGCAAGGTGTACAGCCATGCAGTTAAAAGATTTGCGATGGATTTCTTTAATAAAAGAAAGTATGCTGCTACAATATAATATATCCCATATTGTATGTTGTAACTCAACCCGTTTTATCAATTAAAGAATCTATTCTTTCCCATTAAAACATTCAAAGTCCTGACAAGCTTTCCCAGCCTTGACTGATACTATTATTCATTCAATTATACTTATGGTTGAGAGGTACCATTCACTGATACTACTTATATGAACAATTTATGTTGTTAATAATTTGGGCTATTATGAGAAAATTAAAAGCCTCACTAGTAGAGCTTCTCTTAGTTAAATTATATGAACAAATAAATATGGTGGAGCTCTCTTAGTTAAATTATATGAACAAATAAATATGGTGGGTCGATACTAATTTTAATTAGTTTCTTATTATGAAACATGGACAAGGATAAACACGGAGCAAATGACATGATATAATATAATCATTTTTTTTTAGAGAAAAAAATTTCAATTATATCTAAGTTTACTATTTAAGATTTGTTGTCAAGACATGCATACATTTGTGTCTCAAATCTTTTAGATATATGTGGGAAATACAAACTTCTCCTATATTATAAATACAATTTATATATATTTTAAAATAAAAAATTTAAAATTTTGATAATCCACTACGGGTTTATTCTTGAATATTTATCTAAAATAATAATAAAAAAAAAAAGTTTACAAGTAGGTAAATCAAAGGATCTAGTTAATGAGTGACTATGACATTCCACCCATCTCATAATTTAGACATTATTATTTAACAAAATTTTGAATTTCAAGACTTGGATAACAAAACCGACAATCCCATTGCTTTCATAATATTAGAAAGAAAGACATAATAAAAAGAATATGTAAAAGAACCCGATGCTTTGATTATTATATCGTACCACTATAAAAGCAACCGGTGTTTTCCAAAGTTGATTTAAATTGCAAAAATTGAAGAAAATCTCATCATCATTTGCTTTCGACATGATTTTTCAAATATCGTAAACCCAATAATTGAGTAACGCTGGGCCACCGTTCAACTTTTCACAAGATTTTCACACTTCAAATGATGCAACTGATTATGACATTCAAGACCCCAACTCATTTAATAATTGTACTCACATGATCCAAAAACACAAGTGTACATAAATTACTCCAGAAAGACAACTAAAAAGTATTGAGTCAAAAGTATGTAACAAATTTTTTTTTTTTTTTTTTAAAAGAAATTAATACTGAGAATTTCCATTAAGGGCGGGTAAACACTTACCTCAGCTCCAGAACTAAGTAAGCACAAGCGTACAAATAAATCTATTCTTCTCTTTCTCTCCTCTTTATTCTTTCTCCCTTCCTTTCTCTCTCTTTCTGTGTCTATTCTAAAGTTTCCTCCTTTCTTCTGTATGTTTATGGTTTTATTCTTTGGGCAATTCTTCTTTCTCTGGGTTTTGCAGCTCTCAGTTTGCTTATTCTTGCCGAGAAATTAACCTTGCCTGTTGTCTGAATCGACCACTTCTAAAAGGTAATTTTAGTTTCTCTGGCCGCAGTTTATTTTTTTACTGTTTCTTTCATTCAATGACTTGTTGTTCTTGGTGCTTCTTTATTTATTGTTTTGATCAAGTAGAATGCATGTGTTAATGAGATCTGCTTTTTCTGCTTTTTTGGTGTTTGATTCAAGAATTTGATTTCTTTCTTTACTTATCTGCGGAGATATGTGTTTCTGCAATAAAGACTTGTAGTTGTTAGTTCTTGAAAGCTGTTTGTTGGTTTGTTCGAACTTTTTGTGACCTTTGAGCATAGATATAATAATAGGTTTGCAAAAAGGAAAAAAGAGAGAAGGTTTTTGATCAACTCGGTGGCTAATGAAAGATTTTAGTTCCATTCTGGCGGGGCTTCTGTTTGATTTTCTGTTTTGTTAATTTGCTCTAGTTATGTCACTTGGATTATAGATTCTTACTGGCCTTTAAAGTGTAGGGAACCAGCAATTAATTCCTTTGATATACAATCAGATCACTTTCTTGAGTTTCGTTTATCTGGAAGTTTGTTAGTCTGATGGTACAGTGCTTAATCCTCAGTTTGATTGCTAATTAAACTAGCGAAAGTGAAATGTGGAACCCCAACAAATGTTACTCTTTATCTGTATAAGCTAAATACTACTGGTGCTCTGTTGCATTGAGGTTTTGAAATTACAACGATGAAGATAAATTCTGATGAAGTGTGTAAATGCTCCATCAGTCAAATAAAATTTAAAATTGAGATAAAAGATGGGAGAAATCCTCTCCTCTAATAAACAAACACAGGTTTTGAATCTTCAATTAGAGGGTTCAGAGGAGAGTCTGAGGTTTATTTCAGGATGTCTCATTGGTTTAGAGCCAGTTTTCAGTTGAATTTAAAACTTATACTTGCTTGACTTGTTTCCTTTATTACTGTTAATCCTGATTTATTAGAAAATAAGGAATATAAAAATTTCTGACTTTTTATTAGGTTATATATTTGAATTTGATTGCTGACTAGTTTTTCTTTAGTGATTTGAATTTAGGCTTTTAGTCAACTGGAAATGGAATTCACAGAAATTTCTTTGTTTGATTCTTTACCAGGGTGCATCTATAATCTCTTGTACCTGAATCTTGCACATTTGGACTGTGATTTGGTCCAATATTGGTGTTCTGCTGAAAGAAATACATGTTACTGACGAATTTGATGGAAGAAAAGCAACTGGATTTTAATCAGCCATTTCTATCTGTGAGGCGGTTCTCATCAATAGTGACCACCTCAGAAGCTGAAGTTAAAAGAAAAACAGTTAATTCAGTTCCCAAAATACCTCCTCTTCCTGCTTACAAATCAGAGTTGAAATCAGGTCCAATCAGGAACCCAGGAACTGTTCCTTTCGTGTGGGAGCAAACGCCAGGAAGGCCCAAGAATGAAAGCAAATCACAAACTCGAGCTCTTGAGCGACCTCCCATTGCCCCAAAGCTTCCACCTGGAAGGATTTTGAATGTTAAAAAGCAGCCTTTGGACAAAGCTCCTGAAGGTACAAACAGTAAATGTTACCAGACAGGAATTGTTCGAACCACTTCTAAAAGTGTTCCACTTGCTGACAAGAATGCAATTAAACGTGAGAGTTCCAAAGAGGGGATGGAAGAGACAGAAAGCTCTACCACAGAGGATGGTGATGAGGCTTTTGTGGATGCACTTGATACACTTTCCCGCACTGAATCATTCTTCTTGAACTGTAGTGTAAGTGGTGTGAGCGGGTTGGATGATGCAGAAGTGAAACCTACAGGAACATTCTCAACCGATCCGCAGACTCGGGATTTCATGATGGGTCGATTTTTGCCTGCAGCAAAGGCAATTGCTTCAGAAGCACCACATTATACTACTAGAAAGAAACCTATTGTGTGTGAGCAACCAAGACAGATAAAGAAGATTGTTGATATCAGTAAGCGACAGCCTCCTAAACAATACAGTTCAAACAATTTACATTTTCACGCTCAAGATGAGAGGTGGGAAGAAAGTGATGATGAAGATGATTATGATGTACCTGAAAGCTCATCAGCTTCAGTTTGTGGGTTACTTCCTCGATTTTGCTTGAAAAGTTCGTTTTGCCTTATGAATCCAGTGCCTGGGATGAGGCTGCAAGAGCGGGAACCAATTTCTTTGGGCTATCACAGAGCACAGGCTAGTTCTTGCAGTGGGACTGAGCATGAGGTATCTAAATTGTCGTCCTTTGTACTGACTCCATTATTGTTTTTATTCTGTATGCTCTGTCATCATCTTTAGGGAACTGTTGTTGAATATATTAGCATTGTTCTTGCAGAAGGTAAGAGTGGCGGTATATGAGCAGAGTTCCTCAGTTGGATCTCTAAGAGCAAAGACACAAGAAAATAAACTTGACCTGAAATATAAAGCCAGCCAAGTAGCTTCTGGAGGTGAAGGTCACAAATTAGATGGATCATCTCTGTACAGGCGTTTGCAGGGTAATGTGGTACCACCTAACCAAAATGCAAATTGCCAGTCTCCCGTCAGTAATGAAATAAGGTTTCTTGAGATTCCTGAAAATGCTAAGAACCTGAAGCTGAATGATTCTGATCCACAGAGAAAAGGCATCAAGAATTTCCGGGAACTATTGGCCAATGAGAGCACTAATTTGGAATCAGGCTTAACAAGTCCCGTTGAGAAAACTTTGTACATAGATTCTGTACATAAGGTGAAATCTCTGAGTTCAAATTGCAGTTCTTCAGACTCAAAGAGGCTAAGTGATGGCAGAGGAGATGAATTAAATGTTCTTGTAAAAAGTATGGGAATGGAAGAAGCAGCTTCTATACATTCATCACTTCATGATGTCAAGCAGTTGAATGTTGTGGCAATGTTGGAACCTAAAATTATGGAGTTTATTCATTCCAAAAATCTATCTTCTCCTGACACAGCTGCCCAGGGTGTGCAGATTGATGTAAAAAATAGTTCCACAGAGGATCAAGTTCTCACTAACAATTTAATTAAACAGACAAGCACAAAAGTGGCTGGCAGTGAGAAGTTTGATCTAGCTTTACAAAGTGAACTGCAAGGGAAATTGAACAATCAAGATTTTCGTGGTGTCGTCCAGGATTCTATTTCATCAACTAGATCAAAAATGGGTGATGATGGAAAAATTGACACTCAAAGCCAACCATTAAGTAGCGCGGAAGGATCTCATGGCCTATATTTACAACTTCCTCTTCCCCTGCCTCCACCAAAATCTCCGTCAGACTCTTGGCTGAAGCGGACTTTGCCTACTGTTTCCGTGGGGAAATCATCCACTTGGTCTTCTCTTGGTACACTTAACTGTACTGGAGTTCAGGGTTCCAAGTCTCCCTCTGTTGATCCCAAGTGGGAAACCATCGTCAAAACCTCTAATGTACAGCATGGACACTTGCGTTTCTCTGAGGTAGTTTACAACTTTTCTTTCCCTTTTATTTCATCTTTACCAGAATGCAAACCAGTTTAAGCTGACTTTTGGTCTTCAATTTCTATTGTCTCTCAGGAACTACTTACTCCTATACCAGAAGTATAGAACAATAGAAGCCTTAACCCCATGGACTCGTGTATATGCTTGGTTGTGATGTCCATAATTTTAATGGCGATAAGGGTTCTCAAAGTACTTTCTCATCTTCTTGAAAAAGTACTCTCCTCCTCCAAGGTGCTCCTTCCCATACTCAGTATACAGCGGGCAATTGTAAATCTACTTGCCCATTAATATCCTGTAATAAGAAATTGCATTTAGTCAAAATCATGTAAATCTCTTCTATCACTGAACGTAAGGTTGTTGGGCTTTGTATTTTCAATACATTTTTCTTATTAAAGGGAATCTTTACAGTTGTATTTCTTTTTTATAATAAAAGGAGAAGAAGACTACTACTACTTTTTTTACATGATTTGTCAATCCAAATAATGACTGATTCTTGCCAGGCTTTTTGGAGTTTGATAATGGAACTGGATGTTTTATAAAAGATATTTCATCAACATTTCCAATTCCATGTGAGGTCGTTTTAGCTTTCTGAACCTTTTTACCGTCTTCCTTGTGCGGACGCTAAGTTTATTTTATTGCAAAGATGGCAGGCACAAGGTGAATCATACCACTAGAAATGTTATACATCTCAATTGAATCAACATATCCTAAATTTCTTAGTAAATACAATTAAATTATCCTTTTATTTTATTTTATTTATTTTTTATCTTGGGGTCATGAGGTGAGGCTATATACACCTGACCTTTATATCCTTTTCATCACTAAATTTGTCCCTACATAAATTTTACTTATCAGGACTTATCTTTAATAGACCTCTCACATCCACAAACCAATCACATCGTCTCTTCGTGTCATTACTTAAATTTTCTCAATGAAAATATGTACTTTGAAACTTCAAAATCCAACTTGAATTTAATGTTCTTGGAAGCTTCGTAGGATATTCAATTAGCTTGGCTTCAAATGATAATATTATGTGAACGCTATATGCTGTTCCGACTCTAGAGAGTCACTTTAGTTATTTCATATAATTTTCAAAGCATTGTACCATTGAGATGGAGTTTAAATTGTCAACGCCCTGTTATTACCTACAAACCTACATCAAAGATTTTGAAGCGGTCTTACAAACAAAAGTACTCTTGAAGCTTCCAAAATCCACATCTTGATAAATTTCATAGAAGTGTACAAAACACCTTAAGCAGCACGATATTGAATTTAACTTGTAGATGTCGTCACATTGACGACTAGTCCTTGCTTCTTCATCTATATATACTGGCTAGGAGTAGAAGAGGAAGAAACATCAAATTAAAATGGCAAGAGTTGTTGGTTATTGATGGTGGTGGCCCTGCAGGAAGCAATTTTGGGGGACTTTTTTCTGCTTTGCGCGGTGGTTGCATCAGTTTCAATGATATCGATGGTCGTATTCGCTTGTGGTGACAGCACCTCGGGGAACCGTCGTAGTGGAGGTGGAGGAGGAGGAGGAGGAGGATGCGGAGTAGGAGGATGTGGAGGCGGAGGTGGTGGTGGCTGTTGAAAGAAACAAATAAAGCGAGCAACTTCTTGAAATTTTTGTTGTTGTCAGAGGCCTTAGATTTGGTATTATATTTTCTAGGAGTATTTACATATGTGTTATTCCAGTCATGCATTACTAGTTTGTAAAGTCAAATTTTTATCGGATTTTTTTCTTTCATATCACCTTGAAAATCAATAACGAATGAAATCTTGTACATTTTAGGGATGAGAAGATTCACTTCATAATGCGAAATAACTTTTTATACGTATACATTTAATTAAATTAATTGATTTCATACTTTCGTTAAGATCGATCTAAGTCCTAAAAAAAATAAAATTTTTAAATAATCCACAATTTCCGTATAAACGTTCTCTGCTTTAACTAACTTTTGCTAGAATTTATAATAAGCAACGTCCAGAGTTAATTTTTGTTGATGCTTGATTTTGACACCAACGACTCGCACATGCAAAGTGCTAAGCGGGCTTAGAAATCACATGTGATAAAGAAACATGAAATGAAACAATGAATAAGAAGCGATATTTAAAATAGCTCGGATGCTCAAAAGCGAATCCTACGTCCATTGCTATTGTATTAATGAATGGATAAAATCGGGTCGCGTGAGGCAAGCTGAGTTACAATCTAGAGAGAGAGAGAGAGAGAGAGAGAGAGAGAGAGTATAAGCTGTTTTAGACTAAGATCAGCAAATCCTGTAAATGAGAGGGATGGCTTCTATTTATAGTGGGAGAGTTCAAGGTAATGATTACAAGTCTGCAAGTAGGTAGGTGTCGTATAAATTCTTCTTTGCATCCCATTGGTTATCTGCATGAGAAATATCCTCAAATTACGTAGGACTTGTGCAGGAGGATAATCCCTAACCACTCGCAAGCTTGGCACTTACCTGCTGCACTGACAAGAACCATACCTCTTCTGTCACCGCGCGATGTGGCAGTGCTTGGACAACACAAAACCTTCCTAAACCCTGATTGACTCTTGCTGACGAGAATCCATGTCAACCCTAACTTTTCAGGCATAACAGAAGTCCCCCAATTTTTAAGGTTTAAGGATTGAACCTTGAGAACTTCATAATTATGCAGCGACTTGGCTTGTCTCGAATGATGCTTGGTCGAGCTGACCAAGCTGTAAGGAGGTTGCAGCACATGTCTCTAAGGATAGTACAAGCGACCTGAGGTGGCCTTCTTCCACAAGTTCAATGACCTGGATCAGGCCCCACTCAGTGCCGTACCGATGCGCTTCAAATCTCATCCGCGGTCCGCGACCTGATAATACTTAGCATATTTTTACCAAGGACAAGGAATCGCATTGTCTCGAAATCGATATGCAGCGAAGAGTGTTCTGCCCTAACGACCTCTTCAGATGTTATCCGTTGCGCTTGACAGCTAATCCGTTTAACAAAATAATCTTTATTCTGATAGACGTGTCTAGTCGCAATAAGTGCCAACCATGTGCATTAAATGCAAGTTATGCTAAAACGACATTCCCTTTCAGGGCATTAAATGCGGATGAGGGTGCATTTAATGTGGAGGAGATAATCGAGTCGTCGCTTGGTTGTTCCAATGGAGGGAAGCATCGATTGGCATTCTCGAAGCGTGGCAGTTACTTCTTCTTGCGGATTGATGACATGTGGTTGCAATCAATGGTGAGAAACGTATTCTGCGAAAGCGTCGCTTACCTTAGGGAAATCAATTGTCGCTTCCTCCCCCTATAAAACCCAAGGCTCACCTTAAGCTTTGTCACAAAACTCATACTTTCAGAGAAAGAACAAAGCTCTCACGAGACCAGTCTCCCTATTTTCCAATTGGTGCGTACCTTTTGTTTACGGCAGAAAATCCGTTCCCCGCAGCTAAGAGGTAAGGAGGATTTCTCCTTTACATTTCTTTTACTATTTTGTTGATAGCTTGTCTTGACAACAATGGTGGGTGTGAACTGTTTGGTGAACCTTTGTGGTGCGTGTTTATGGGAAATTGTGAGGACAAGGCTTTTTCTTTCATAAAGAGTAAACATTTGGGGCACGAATCCTTGGGGGTGGTCCCCAAGGGTTTCTAGGGTTTAAGGAAGGTACATTAGGGTTTCTTTTATCCTTCCATGTCATTGTACTTTTCAGAGCTCAGGAGTGATGGATGCCTCAGTAACCAGGATAACCGAAGGGATGAGCTCGCAAGTGTAGGACGCCCCAGCGGGTCCCGTGCAAGAGATTCTATAAATGGTCACCCGAGATGAGATACAAAAGGCAGTAGACCAATATGCACTTAGCATGGACGTCTACTAGCATAGAATGTATACAACTCAGAATCCCCCAGAGGGAATGGCCGCGATCTCCGAGGCTATTTTCAAATGCAGGGCATTGATACCTTTTCACCTGTTCATTAGGTCGATCCTCGATCACTTTGAGGTCACACCACTGCAATTGACACCCAACGCGTATATGATAGCTGTTGCTATGTATATCGCATGTGGTCTCGGCCAGTTGACTACGCTGGAGCTTACATGCTTCTATTACTTAAAGAAGACCAAAGACAAAGACTCTTTTTACCTCTCGAAGCGATCTACGATTGAGGGAGACATATTTGGTTACCCAAGTAATGTTGGGGCCTATGAAACCAAATTTTTCTTTTTTTAATATGATGGCGTCTACCAATTTAGGGAACCTAGTAGGTTTTCCCCTCTTTTACTTTGCGAATTTTTTCTTTTCCTTCAGTTTTTGCTCTCTAACGAACTTTTTCGTCTCTTTGCAGGAAACAAGACGACTAGGTTGACGACTCTAACTAATTTCAACCGAATCGTAGCATTCGGTAATCTGTCTGAGCAAAGTTACGACGCGAGACTGCTTATGACTATCGCCAACCTAATGAAATACGGTTTCTTCAATTCTGAAGTGTCTCTAGAACCCTTAGTTCGTAAGTGTCCGCATACTTTAGAAATTCTTTCCTTTGCATGCAGTGAGCTTTTTCACTAATCATACTTTCATATAGCGACCATGCTACCTAGAGTTTCGAGGCCGACGATAAGGACCAGGGGGTTCGTTTTTCCCCGGGTTGCCCCGACCGAGCCAACCGAGGCGATCCCTGGTAATACCCGCGTTGGAGGGACACATGTGGGTGCTCAAACACCCATAGAACGCCTAGGGGAAACTTCTCGGCCCGCAGCTACTCGCGCCCCTAAGCAGAAAACCATGGGCCAAAAAACTAGGAAGAGAAAGCAGCTGCAGGCTGAGGAATCAGAGTCCGAGCCAGAGGGCTTAGGGGCGCAACCCGGGAGGTCATAGCCTTACTAGGCCTTTTGCTTAGGGGCGACCCCGAGGCACGCACTTGGCATTTCGATAGTCCCAGAGCGCTTGTGCAGAGGACAAGGGGAGGTCGCGGTCCCCCGAAGGAAAGCGGGTAAAGAGCCGATTGGCGAGATGCTAGTTCCTTCAAGGGCTAATACACCTGTGTTGGACTCTATGGGACAACTTCCGGAACACCTACAGCTGGTGGTGTATACCCTATTGGAGTGCCAAATTGCTATGGCTTTTGAAGAGTTCGTGGCCTCTTGACATGCAGACCTGATTACTACAACGCTCCTGCTGCAAAACCAGGTAAGGTAGCTCGTCCTCGTCGAGGATTTCCTAATATCGGTTGGTTTTCATACCCTTTATGCTTTTAAGAAAAATGGAGCTTAAGCCTTTTTTCCTTTCTCACGCAGTCTCTGCTCGCTTGCACTTGGCCCAACAGAAGACCATCCTGGACTCTGTGGGGGGGCTCCATGAGCTAAGAGAAGAAAATGCGAAGCTGAAGTAGGACCTAGCGGCTATGGACGCAGAGACAAAGACATATCACATTCAGGTGAACCAATACCTGTTAGAAAAGAACTCTGCCCTTCGCACAATAGAGTTCCAGAAGGCTGAGTTCGAGAAGAGAGGCGAAGAGATCAAAGAGCTCCAAAGGATGAGAGGATAGTGGCCAGACTCACCAAAGAGTGTGGCGAGAAAGAGTAGGAGCTACAAGCAAACTCCGAATGGGCTATGAAGACAGAGGAAGAAAGAGCTCGGTTGTGGGAAAACACCGAGAAGCAGAAGAGAGCACTGGAGATGAACCTCGAAATTTCCCAAGGGCGGGTCACTTCATTAACTTATAAGATGAAGCGACAAAGCCTGAAAATTGAGAGAAAAGCCGCTGACTAGGCAATTTAGGCCATCTATAGCTTGCGGCCAAGGAACTCGGGGATGGACCTTTCCGACCTTCCGATCGAATACTAGAACATCCTTACTTCCATGGCGGACGTTGATAATTACATCGAGGAGGAAGAGGAATAAGAGTCTCCTCCAGAGGGCGATCAGCCAGAGGAATATGTCCCAGAGGACCCAACAGTTGACCGGGTGGTCGGCAACCAACCGAGGGATACGGAGGTCGCACCCGTAGGGCCTATAGGTGGACACCAGTGATCGCTTTTGCACAACCTCGCTTTTAACTTTGTTTCTGCATTTCCTAATTCTCTATACTTACCTCTACTATATATATAAATAAAAGAAATATTTTCTAGCCATTTGTGATAGCACTTATAATTTTGCGTACTCCACAAGACTAATGTTACATATGCGAACAGAAAGCTTGCAAAAACATTGCAACGAACAAGATCATATAAGATAAATTCACTTAAGAGTGATCTCATTTACAAAGTTTACAAGCAAGGAATTTTTTTACAAGGAAATTAAAAATTAAGTGAAAGTTCGAAATTATTGGTAATAAGGGCGAAGATACTTAGCATTCCAAGCTCGCGGTACCTCAGAACCATTAAGTCTTTTGAGGGGATACATTCCTAGTCGTATGACCTTAGTGATGCGGTTTGGGCCTTCCCAGTTAGGTCCTAATACCCATGTGCTCAGTTCCCTTGTACCGAAAAGGACTTCTTTCAGAATTAGGTCGCCGACCTGAAAGTCTCTTCTCCTGACCTTAGAGTCAAAGAACCTTTTTGCACGCTACTGGTAGGATGCTATCCTTAACTGAGCCGTGTCACATTATTCT